TACTATGTAATTACTTATATAAATTACTCAATAAAGATACGAGCAAGGCCTCACCTTAAAAAAAAAAAAAAAAAAAAAAAAAAAAAATCTGAACCAAGCAAAAATCTACAAAAACCTGGAACATACAAAATAAAATACTCTTTTTTTTTATTAATGAACATTTATAAATAAATTTTGAATAACCATTTTTCTTGATGAAATAAAAATCTATAATATAATATATAAAGTTAGGTAATAATTGTTTACTGAACAAATTTCGAATAAACACTTTTTTAATACAATTTTATATTATTTATAACAGTAATAATTTTGTATGCCAGGTTATGAGATCCTGTTAGTAAAATCTCAAATCAGACTTTAAACAGTGATTATGTAACTGATTGTGGTGGTTATGCTAAGGGTTAGAGAAAACCTGTCATCGGGCTTTCAATTTTATTTTGTACTAGACAAAATCTATTTAATTTCTTAAAAAATATATCTGGTACAAAATATAATTAAAAGCACGATAACAGGTTTTCTTTTGGCAGCACTCATATCAACTCTAGCCTCTTATATAACTATCATCCTGATAGCCCATATCAGAAAAACTTACAGAGTAGGAAGGGAGAGTCTATATAACAGAAAAATGTCAGGTTCACAGAAGAAACAAGACTGTTTCTTTATCAATAACTATATACTTATACATTAACTAATTACTTTATAACTAACTATTTAAACTTTTAAGGATTACTTTCATACTTATCTAACAGATTAGAATAAACTTGATGTTACATGTCAGTTTTATGATGATTTGAGACAAAGAGATACCTTGATACTCATATATCAAGCAGCTTTTAAAAAAATTTTTTAAATAACTTTTTCAATATCATATTTACTTTTATTCTTATAATAAAATTATGGCCATTCATGCAAATATACCTGTGATTTGATTTGTCACAATTTGAAGATATATTTTCAATAAATAAGATCATAAAACATATAATTTACTTTATATCAACTGAATTTGTAAGTTTTTTTTTTTTTTACTCACAATTGTGGTTCGAATAATTATTACAATATTCCAGTAATCATCAAATTACTGTATTGCAAGTATGCATTAGTGAACTACAAACACTATATCACTAGAAAGTAGGTATTTTTTATGTAACTCAAAAAGCATAATAATTCTAATATAAACCAACTCGAATTACATGTTACATATAGCTGAAATAGCAAGTTCTGTAATATGCTCTATAATGAAAACTAACTTATTTTGCATATTGTGGTCACTGAAATCTCAAGTACTGTAACAAAATAGTTTCTTACGATAGAAATCATAATAATTGCAATATAAACTACTTAACTACGAATTATATGGAATAGCAAGTTTTGTAATAGAATTTTTTTGCAAAAATAATAATTCTAATGCAAACCAACTCAATATTAATCATGCATATAGTTACTAAAATAAGTTTTGTAAAAAAAAATTTATAATAATATATAATAGAAATCAATAATTCTAATGCAAATTAGCACAATTTTAACTGCATAGAGAACATGATAATTCCAAACTATTTATATGCTATGGTCACCAGAATGGTGAGTAAGTTCTGTAACAAAGATTTCAAAAACAGATATTATTATGAATTGTGGTACCAGGTATGTAGTTTAAATACAATAATTCAAGAATAGATAAATTAGAAATAGAAAGGTTAAAAATTAAATAAGAGGATCTCAAGGTATAAGAGAGTAGTACTTGGGTATATGCAGATTATCTTTGAGTGTAGTATAGGTTATGCAGTATAGATATTTATTACAAGTCCAGTTAGTAAAAAATAGAATAACAGTATTCATTATGGTTTGGTTAAATATTAAAATTTATTGTGCTCATATTAATATATCGATTATTTGTTTTAAAAGTTTTGAACAAAAAAATAAAGTAGTTATCCGGTTAGAAATTTGTTGAGAATTAATTATTTATTATGTTTAATATGTAAAAATGTAAAAGTCAAAGCTGAAATTGCAAGTCATATGATTGCAAGTCACTAAATAGTTATTTAGATTATATATTAAAAATTTAGATATATTTTAAAAATAAAAAATTGTAACTATATCTTATCTTTATATTTCAATTCGAGTTCTTTAATTTTTAAATTATATTGAAGTTCTTTTTCTAGTCATTCTATCTCTATTTTAAATTTGAGTTCCTGTTCTTTTTCAAATTTCTCTTTTTCCTATTTTAAATGCTTTTGTATTATATCCAAACTTCTTTTTTTAGTTTCTCTTAATGACTTTAACTCTTCTAAATACATTTGATCTATTTCTAAAACTTTTGTTTTTATTTTTAGAAACAACCTGATCTTCGATATCACTTTCAATATGCTATTAAATAAAATTACAATTAGTAAATAGGTAAAAATCAGATTTTTACTAAAATTAATTGTATTTATTATTTTTATCTTATTATCATTATTATCAATGCTAGATATTAAGTAGTCTGGCTTCACATTCTCCTCATTTCCAAATATTTTATTCATTTTATCCAAATATGGCAACTTTGATCTAGCTTTTTCTGTTTCTTCCTTGTTTTCTTTCTCATATCTAGATTAAAGTGACTAGATTTTATCATTAACTTGAGTACTAGTTCTATTATTACTGATTTTAATTGCAGCAGTAGCATAGAATTTTGTTTTATTTTTGCAATACATATCAAAATTTTTAGCAAGTAAAGAAAGCAAAGCTCGTGTCTCAGAATCTTTTCAAAATTTACTACTTGGAATAACTTCATTAGAATCTGGTTTACTTTCTACAAATTCATATTTATTTGAAGTTTTAGATTGATAGGAATTGATTTTTTTATCTTGAGAAGGTGGAGCATAATCAATAAACAGAGCTAGAGTATATGTAAATTGACCAGTATATTGATCTAATATAAAGAAAAACTTGCTTATAAAACTTAAAAACAAGATTTTTTATTACTTTTTATTTCAAAATTTACAGAAGCTAATCGAATAATAACTTTCATTATTAATAAATCTATTAATATATAAATAAAGAACTCTAAAAATTTTAACATATAGCAAAACTAAGACAAGCTTGTAAATAATAGCGATAGTAAAATAATTATAAAAATTGCATATAAATATTATTCACGAATAAATTTAAAATGGGTTAGCTTAAAAAATCTAGATTTTACAAAAAAAAATTTTTTTTTAGATTATTATTAGATAATTTATATCATTAACAGTTAATGATTCTATTAATAATTAGAGTATCCAGAATTTTACTGCTCTAACTAAAAAATTTTGCTACAGTTTTCATTAAATTTGCAGATTCTGTGTTGATATATGTACTTTAAAAACAAAATTATACAAAAAGAAAATCTAATTTTAAATGCAACAAACTACAACCAATAGGTTATTATTCAGTGAGCAGAACAAGAGCAGAATTCTGTACAAATTTCTAGATACATTAAATATTATATGTAGCAAATTATGTAGAACAAAAATTCATTTATATGTATTATATTTTATTCATGATCTTCACTAACTAAACCAAATTAAACATTCTACATTTCTAAATAGGGGAAGTGCTATAGGCATACATATCACTTTCGGTAACAATACAAGTACTGCTAAAATGGGTCTAAGGTAGAGTTAAGAGGATTATTTTTAGATTTTGCTTTGCTAGAGTAAGTATTTTCTGTAGTTGGTTTAGATTGCAAGAGTTAGAAGGATTTGCTTGTATTGATATTAGAAGGTTTTAAGGAAAGAGTAAGAAATGGCTCATTGTTAGCAGAGGTTGCTGAGGCTGAGAAGTTGTTTGTAGAAGCAATATTTTGTAAGGTTTGAAAAACAGGAGTTAAAACTTTACAAGATTGGTCAAGTGATGAGATGGCAGCATAAATTGTTAGAATCTTAGAAGAGATTAAGAGAGAGATGCAACTGGGATGCAAGAAGTGTAGTAAACTTCTTTGTTTACCAAAACGTATATTTTATTAGGGTGGTGGTTGTTATTGTAAATATAGCAAGTGATAATTTTAAGACATTTGGAACAAGTATGTTTACAAGACTGATAAGTAGGAGAGGGTAAAATATTTTCTGAAATTTCAGAGTTCTGATAGATAAAGTTAGTAGTTTTGTTATTTTGTCTTTTCTCAGTAAGTACCTGGGAAAAAATAGAGGCTAGTTGAAAGGTTTTGTTGTTTTTAGCAATAAATTGTGTATAATATTTGTTGCATAAGTATATAACAATTGCTGTTATTGTTGATGCTCAAAAGAAGTGTGCAGCTACTTTGGTATGGGTAGTTTTGGTATAGCATGTTGTAGATTTTTGATTAGGAGAGATTGGTTTTAGATTATTTTTTGGTTTGTCTTTGAGAAACATGATACCAAAGCTTGAGCTGAAGTATGCATAAAAGTAGTCAAGATCAACAGTATCTGGCTCTTGTTGAGTTAAAGTAGGCATTTTAAAGAATTAAAATAGATAAAAATAACAAGCTTTAGCTTGAAGTTTGTTGTAAATTAAGTTTTTAGAATTAATTTTTTTTTGAAAAAGAGGCACTAAAATAAAGTAGGAGTTATTTAGAAATAAGTTTTTCAGAGGTAGAAATAAAACAAGTGTTATTTTTAAGGTACACAGTCATGTAATCTAAAAGTAGAATTTCAAAATTTTTGTGTTATGCAAGTCACATGATAGATTATGTATTACACGATCTAATATAGGAAGTTCTATTGTATGAATAAAAGTTACAAAAAGGGCAATAATTAAAATTGTGCAATTTTGATTAATAATTTGTAATTCTAGTGTAATTTAACAAGCATCACTAGTTTTAGAGTATTTTAGGGCGTGGGTAGCATGACTGGGGGAGTTTTGGTTGCATAGAAAACGTCTCTAGATGTTTGGAAAAAGTAAAATTCCCAAAGCAAGAAGAGAAAAAAAGAGTAAATGGAGTTGAGAGTTGTTTTACTTATACCCAGTCAATATTGAAGCTACAGAGGTTTATTGTAGCTTGTTTTGAATAGAAAAATCTGTAGAACAATTCATTCTATGCATTTAAGAGAGGTTTAGAATATATGTTTGGCATAAATAGCAAAAGAAGCTTATTTGGTCTAAAAAGCCATTACTTGAAAAGTTTTGAAGTTATTTCTTTAATAATTAAGTATTATATGTAATTTAGTATGTAGAAAAAGTTTAATTAAAGCAAGAAGTTAGGTTATCTTAATAAATTATTGCAAAAATATGACTTTTGTTAGATATATTTTTTAGAGAAATTTTTGTATAAGTGATTAACAGAGAGAGTTTTTTTTATAGTATTTGTTTATTGTATATAAATTTGAGTATTTAATATTAAAGTTTTGCATTGTTAAAAGGTTGTTTGTCAAAATTTTAATATAAAAAGTATATTTATGCGAATTGTATTCTAAGAAGTTAAATATTCTGAAAGTTAGATTTCAAATATATAGTTTTTAAGGAATTTTATTAAGAACCAAAGAAGAAGTTTTTGAATTATAATAATGTTCTTAATAAAAGTGCATACTTTAAATAATATAGTATGATTATTTTAAAGAAAGTGAGTAGGAAAATTAAAATATATATAAAAGATTTCTAAAATAGGTTTATTAGCACCTTGTTTGGCTAGAAAATCAGCTTAATTATAAAGGAAGTTGGTCAAATATGATTTAGCTTTAATAGGAAGAGTAGAAATATTTTTTGCTAATTTAGTAAAATTAATAATAAAAATAATATTCTAATTTTTGTTTTGAATAAGTTTAGAGAAGAGTGTATTGAGTAGATTTTTAATTGTTGATATATTGTCAATATAAATACAAACTGTGGAGTTTATTAGAAAAACAAGCAAATGTAGAATAGTTGCTATTAATTTAATCTAAGAAGAGACAGAAGAGGAGAGAATTACTGTATTAAATTTAATAGATAAATTGTTTTTACAAACCTAGCCTATACCGGTTTGTATATTTAAGTTTTGAAGATTTTTAATAAAAGTATCAGAAGAAAAACAAAGACTAAGTGTATTTAAATTTAGAATATTGTTATAGATTTGGGTTAATTGATTTTGATAGTTGGGAAATTTAATAGTATGATAGATTAGTTGTATTTCATAAGAAGAAAGATTGATTTGTTTTAATATTTTTAATACAAATTATTTAAAATTTTTACTAAATTTTTGTAATATTATATTTATATTATTTTTAAAAAAGCAATAATAATAATAATACTATTACAATATCAAGCTATAAAGACAAAGCTATTAGTTATCATAAATTAGATATTTGTTAATTTTATAACTTGCTGTTTTTCTATTGTTATATATTAATAATTATTTTATAATTTAGAATTAAATAAAGTTTGTGATATTTATTCTGCCAATACTGTTAAAACTTCTAAATTATAAGATAGCAGAGGTGGTTCAAGTTAAAATATTTTAAAAGTCTAGAAATATTAGAAAATAATTTTTTTTTAATATATTTAATTGTTTTTTTTGTTCTTTTTAATATAATGCCTGAATATATTTAATTTATATTATATATTTATTTAGCTATTAATTGTATGAATTTTGCTATTTACCACTACTGGTGATCATCACTAGTGTTACTATATCTCAAAAATGTACTAAGTAAACAAAATCGGGTATTCTAAGTAAAAATATTCAGAACCTCCAAAAACCTTACAAAAACTAAAATTGGGACTTTATATTAGCTCTATATTATATTATATAAAAAAAAAATAATTTTCTAATTTCTAACTCTAATCCTAACAAATCTTAGGACTAGTGATGATCACCACCAGTGATATGTAGTAATTTTCTAATTGTAGATATATAATATTTATAAAAAAAATAAATATTTAAATAATAAAAATCAAAATATTGCTTTTTAATTATATATTAAAAATAACTAAAATAAAATATTTATAATAGATATATAATAAATAGATATCAGAATGATAAAGAAATTCTAGTATATATTCTTTATATATTTATTAAAATTTGTAGCTACTTTGTATAGCTAGTTGTACTCTCATTTGAAATAACCAGAGAGCTTAAATAGACAATCTTCTAGTTAGATTGCAGGAATAGCGGCTAGTGTAGAACCCAGATGGACTACTTAAATTAGACACCCAAAAGGTGCATGTGTGGCTAGTTGTATCCTCGTGAAATGGATATAATATCATAACTACCTGAATAAAGCTTGTGCCAATAGCCTAAGTGGTCATCTTAATTTTAAAAAAAAAAAAAATATTTGTAGCCACTCTTAAAACAACTATACCTACCAAACTACTTGAAAATTTAGCAAAACAAGCAGAAAAAGTAGTTTGCAAACTCAATAATATTACTTTTAGCCCAAACTGTCACAGAGTTTATCTTTACAAATATCTAGCTCTTTATTACCAAATTGTATTAGAAAACTATAATATTCCTAACAACTCTAAACAAGAAGCTATTACCTGAGCCACACTTACTATTATTGATATCTATTTTTTTGCTCAAATCATAACCTACTTCAATTGCATCAAAAACTAATTTTATACCTTTTCACAAACTATTAAATACTACAAAGAAACTGCTTACTCTGAAACAGATAAATATTTAAAAAAAAAATTCAATATCAACTTCCAACCTATCACCAATTTAGAATCTTTATTTATAGATTATTCTTTTCTATAAATCTGTCTTTTACAAACAATATAAATGCAGCCACCACTTTATTAAAAAATATATCTATTGTAGTTAATAAGAAAAATAATATAAGTAGGCAGATGGATAAGTCTATTTACCTGAAAAAAGTAGATAAACACAGTTCTCTAATACACAACCTGAGTATTGCTACTTCTTGTAGAACTGTAAGAGCTAATATATGGTAAGTACTCTTGTAAAAAACAACTTAAAAATATCACTTTCAATATTATCAAACCTCTTGACCTTTTAACCTGCTTTAATAAATTTCTCTAACACTTCAACTTACTACTTCTTCTATCCTCCCAAACAATTAACTCATTCTTTCTTTA